TAGAGGAGAGCCTCCAGTTCCAGGCTGTGCAGGGGAGATTTGGAATGAGGTTCCACACCCAAGGAAACATGCACTTGGGAGAAGAGGTGGTAGGTCCAAAGCAGAAACTTTCCCTAGACATTCAATGGGTCCCCCGGGAAGACCCTCTTTTTCAGAGCCTTGTGGAGGGGATTTGGATCAGGATAGTCCACCTGGAGGTCTTTATGCTCCTCCCCCTGGCCGTTTCCCACAGCCCAGAGCATTTGCCCTGCCCTGGGCCAGGACTGTGACCATCACCCTTGCTCGGTCTAGACAAGTTATGCCATATTTACCATTCCCCATAAAAGATTTTCAGGGAGAAAAGAAAAACTGGATCAATCAATGTACACGAGGCTCTGAAGATATGTACTGGTTCGGAACCTTCACAATGTTGGGGAAGGTACATCTCTGACCCTCAGTAATAATAGCCATATACACTGACCAAGCTTTTTACAGACAGGTCCCATCAAATGGGGACTCACACCAATGCTTTCACCTTGTACTGTTATGAGGCCCATTTTACAGCTGGAGAAATCCAGACTTTGAGTGTCCATGTTTTCATTGGGTAGCAGGATATGTATTCAAACCGAGTTTCCTGTGGGTGCAAAGCCTCATCCCCCCAGCGGCCTGAATTTTCTTCCTGACAGTCAAGGGGAATCCAGCTGTCCTCCCACCTGATGCCTCAGGTCACATAATGGAGAAAACACAGGGAAGCCAGGCATCACTGCCCATGAGAGACTGACACAGGATTTTGCCCACATGGCCTCCTTAGTGAGAGGGTAACAGGCAGGAAGGCCAGAGGTCTTCAAACAGAGGAAATAAGCTGCAAGTGTCAGACATTTTTATCTCTCTTAAGTGGCAGGAGGAAACAAACTAGTGATATTTTTTCCTTCTTTATACAAATTTAAAAGGAGGTTTCTCTTAAAATACTGTGTTGCCATAATGACACCTGGTTTCACCTGAAGTTAACTATTCTCAAACCTTGAGTTAACTAATGCATTTTTCTGGGAAATATTTGTCTTAAGCTATGTTAATGTACTATGCATTTACCCCAGACTCTGTCTTCAAGTCGGTTCTGCCTAATGGTTCAGAACCTACTTGACAAACCATTATGTTATACTCAGATATTGTTCCCCTAATCTATGTAAATGAAACTATTTGTATGGTAATCTGCCCTTCTACAAGATTCAAGTCAATTTTTTTATGGCTCAGGATGAATTGTCTGGTGCCAAGATTATCCCAAAATACATCTTATGGATGAGGGGCCTGGTGCCATTCTGAGTTTTAAGACATTCCTTTCTTTCATTAACAGACTGCTAGTGACTATATAACGTCCAGCTGAAGACTAACAGGAGGGTATTCTTTCTGCCCCCTTCTGATGCCTATGTCAGAAGCTCTCTCTATCTCCTTTATACTTTAATAAAACTTTATTATACAAAAGCTCTGAGTGATCAAGCCTCGTCTCTGGCCCCAGATTGAACTCTTCTCCTCCGGAGGCCAAGAATCCCGGCGTCTTTTGGTGGGTCAGCAACAAACTTTCACTAGCCCCATCAAGACACCATCCCTACTGAAGTGGACACAAGAGCCATAGAGGAGGGATAGGGTGTAGGACTGAGTGTGTGAGGATGGAGAAAGTTCTTGAATGTAGGGGTTGGAGGCACAGCCAGCTAAAGATGGCTCTTATGTTCAGACTACAACCCTGCTCTCTCATTCCACAGCCCCCTCTCCTCCCCTGTCTCCCAGCTCTTGGGGATTCCAAGCTCTCCTGCAGTCTCACTGCCCCAGGCGGACTGGATCTCAGGCAGGGGGAAGCCTGTCCTTTAAAGCACAGTGATCAGGGGGCTGGTGGACTCTTACAGCATCCACAGTGTGGTGAGTATCTGTGTGAGTATCAGGGCTGTGTGGACACACCTACGTCTGGGTAATGGAACATACAGAACATGCTTCGTACATATACCTGGTATCACCATATATAAGTATATAAGAACATATAATCTCCAGACATTATACATATATATTGGACACACACCACACTGACATCTGAAATGTATTCCTCTCTGTGAATGAGAATTAAAAAGTTAAAATCATGGCACTCCAGTTGGTAATATCTAATCATCAAAGCAAGGGTTCCCCTAACCCACCTGCTGCTGTTTACTCTCTTCAGCTGAAATATCCTTTCTACAAAATATTTCCGAAGTCTGGTGACCAGTGAAGGGGTTCCCATGAGAAGATGTGTGGTTCCATGTGCTCCCCCATAGTCATGGGTGCCACGGCCCCCCATCAAGCATCTCTGTCGGGACTGCAGCCTTCTCTAAAATGTCAAGGAGGCCCCCTCCAGTGAGGACAAGGGGGTCCAGTTACCCCAGAACAGAGGGTCCCGTAGACTACAACTTCTCCTCTAGTGGGAATCCTGGAGACCTGGGGCCAGCCTGTCAGACCTAGCCCCCCGTCTGGCTTCTTCAGTGAACTCCTGGAGTCAGAGGCTTGTCTCATGTGGACAGAGGGAGGGGCCCACATCCTGCAGAAACTCTAAGTGAGGACCAGAGGAGACTGAGGGTTCCCAGGGGATGCATGTGTGGCCCTCCTGACAGCCCTGAGGGACCACAGGGCGTGGCATCCAGATGTGAAATTACTGATCCCGCTGGGAGGTGGGGAAGTGAGTGCCTGGGTCACAGACCTTGGGTTCAGGTCAGCAGAAGGAAGGAGCCTAGCTGTGCTAGGAGTCAAGGTAGAACCCTGAGGGGGCCTCTGGTGCCCCCGGACATCCAGGTCGTCACTGCTTTTAGCCCTGGGAGATCCTGGCAGGGTTGTGGGAATGAGCCCCCCACCCCGGTTTCCCTCTCAGTTGTCCTGGCTCAAGAGGGCCTGGGTCTCTAAGGGATACAAAATCAGGTGGGCAGAGGGTGGCAGTGCCCAGACTAGCTGAGAGTCGTGGCGAAGAGTATAGGGAAGGCTGAGTGACTCCCAGGACATCATCTCAGCCCATGGCATCCTAAGCCACGAAGAAGTCCTTGGCTTGGTCCCCTGATGTAATGTCCACAGCCTCCTCCTGGGGCCTCAAGGCAATGAGGCCCTTCTGTGAGGGTCTGGTCTCTGCTGAGGACTTTGGCATCCCAGGATCTGCCAAGGCTAAGGATGAGGACCCAGAGGGAGAACACAGGTGACCCCATAGTTCCACTCTTCTACTGCCAGCCCTGGGCATCCCTGGTGGTGGGATGGGGATGAGCACTTCACAGGGTGTTCTGACTTCCCTATCAGGGTCTCAGACAGATTGGGGACCTAGGATAAGGGATGGGATCTCACATAGGCAGAGGGGAGTGTCCAGGTCCTCCAAGAAGTCAAAGGGAGTACACTGACGGAGGACTCAGGGGACCCTGGACCCCCAATCTGAGGTGACCCCACAGATCCCGACCCCTACCTTCGGCCCTGGGAGGTCTCGGTGTGGAATTTGTGCTCTAGGCCTGTCCTCAGTTTGTGACATCCAGGTTTCAGAAAGACTGTGGACCTGGTTAGAGGGCCAGGGCCAGGTTTGGGGTGAGGAGTGAATGCTAGGTCCTGCCTGGAGACAAGATAAGGTCCTGAGGGAGGACTGAGGGGGCCCCAAGGGAAGACTGATAAGACCCCAGAGAACAACCCCCCCCCCCCACCCGTCATCTGCCCTGGGAGACTCTGCGGTGAGAAGAGCACACTAGGCCTGTCCTGACTTCCTGACATCCGGGTCTCAGAGAGACTGGGGTGCTGGTGTGAGGAGCCGGGCCTCAGGTGGGGAGAGGACGGAGCCCAGGTCCTAGTGGGAGTCAAGTTGAGGACCCTGAGGGAGGTCTGAGGGAAGCCAGACCCCAGAACACAGGGGACCCTGGTAATCCTGAGGCAGGACGACTTCATGCAGCATTTCCTGACATCCGGGTCTCTGAGAGACTAGGGACCTCATGAGAATAGTGGGGCCTTAAAATGGCAAACAGGAGAATCCCTGGCCCTGCCTGGAGTCCAGGATCCATGTTAGGAAGGCCTGAGGCTGTTAGACCCCAAGGCAGGGAGGGATCCTGGCCCTAGTGGTGGATGTTGCAGCCCCCAGAGTGGGTTGAGCAGTTTATTGATCTCTGGCTTAGGGGCCTCTGGAGGTGAGGTGTTAGGGCAGAGGGTGGAGGCTTCAGATCCACAGAGGATGGACTCCCGAGACCCTGAAGCAGGATTGAGTAGACCTCCCACCTCTGTGGTCAGTGTTAGGAGGCCAGGAGGGATGTGAGGAGGAGGTGAGCACCTAGCATCTCCCCAGCCTAGGACCCGCAGGAGGCCCTGGGCAGGTGACGCCACACGTGGGGGCCCTCAGTGCTTTCTGTTCAGACTCAGGTCTTGTTCTGAGTTTCCCTGCAGGGCCCCAAAGGGGAGGGACCAGGCCATGCCAGGGGAACAGTGGGCAATACAAGGAAGCCCCGAGGGGACCAGCCACCCCACAACTGGGTGACCTCACAGAGTTCACCCCTTCTACCAGCACAGAAAGCTCGTCTGTGCCACAGACTACCCCCTCTGTGCCCTCTCCATTTCTGATACAGGAGCTCCAGAAACCAGGAGGTGAAGGCTGAGGTCTGAGGCCCATGTCAACAGGTCAGAGAGCAGAGGAGGTCCAGGTAGTGTTAAGAGTCAAGGTGAGGAGGGTGCCCTGAGTTCTCCCCATCCCAGCAGAGGGGAGCCCACAAGGCCCTAATCCTCCCAGCATGTCAGACCCAGAACCTCACACTGTGCTGACTGCAACCTGTGGAGCCACCTCACGTCTTCCTTTGGGTAGCCAGGGGTCAGGCAGATCTGGAGGAGCTCTTCTATGAGACCTGAGAGCACCCCTCAAGAGGAGACCTGTCAGAGGCCTGATTCAGAGAGCCCAGGGTGGGTTTTCAGCTGAGGCTGCTCGCAACCCCCCTCTCCTGCATACCTGGGGTCCCTATCTGTCCCCCTGCCTCACTTCTGCCTGCTGTTTGACCCCAGTCATGCCTGGGATGCATGAGCTCCGCCAGCCTGAGAGAGTCTTTCACGATCCAAGAGAGGATGAGGGTCTGATGGAGGCACAGTTCATTTGGGATGAGGAGGAGGAGCAGATGAAGGAAGGAGATGCAGCATCCTCCTCCTCCTCTCTCCCGGTCTGGGGCACCCTGGAGGAGGTGGCTGCTGCTGCAATATCCAGTCTCCAGAGTCCTCTGGGTGTCTTCCCCTCTCCCACTGCCATGGCTTCCACTCTTGGGAGCCAATCTGAAGACAATGGCCTCAGCAGGCAAGATGAAGTGCCAAATACCTCGTGTGAGCAGGAAGATGCCAGGTCCTCCCTCCGAGATGCACTATGGGTGAAGAAGAAATAGCTGGTGCAATTCCTGCTCAGCAGGTATCTTGCCAAGGAGTCAATCACAAAGGCAGAAGTGCTGAATAGTGTCCTCAAAGATTACCAGGACCACTTCCTAGTTGTCCTCGGTCAAGCTTCAGAGTACCTGCAGCTGATCTTTGGTTTGGAGGTGAAGGAGGTGGGCCCCAGTGAGACCACCTATATTCTTGTCCCCACTCTGGGCCTCACCCTCAATGAGATGCTGAGGGATGGGCAGGGGTTGCCCAAGGCCGGCCTCCTGGTGGTGATCCTGTGCTTGATCACTGTGGAAGACAGCCATGCCCCTTGAGGAGGAGATCTGGGGAGCACTCATCAGGATGGGGGTGTCCTGCGAGGGAGCACTACATCTATGGGGAGCCCAGGGTATTGCTGACCCAAGTGTGGGTGCAGGAGGGGTACCTGGAGTACCAGCAGGTGCCTGACAGTGACCCTGCTTGCTATGAGTTCTTGTGGGCTCCCTGGGCATGTGCAGAGACCAACAAGTTTAAAGTTCAGGAGTATCTGGACAGTCAGTTGAAGGGGTCCCAGCTCCTTCCACCCCCTCTGCAGAGGCTGCGAGGGAAGAGGAAAGGGGACTCTGAGCCAGAGCAGCAGCCAGGCTCCTTCCAGGCCCACATCCAGCAGCTTGTCCTGGGGGACAGGAAGGGAGGCTGATCCTTCCCTCTATGATTGAAGAGGGAGCAGTTAGCCTTCTCAGCAGTGAGAGCCCGGGCCTGTTGGGGGAACCCAGTGTGCAGCATCTTTGTGTTCCTGTTCTCTACAATGACATGGAGACTCATCTCTCTTTTCTTTAGGAATTTTTCAAAAGTTATTCCTTTTTATAGAAGATGATGCATCCCGGTTTCTAACTATGTCAGTGACATTGATCACCATGTGTTTGTACTTAGCCAGTTCAAGAACAAGAGTTTTCTCTTTTGTAAAAGAGATTGGAAATGCTTCCATTCTATTTCATGGTCCTGCACAAGATAACAGGGAATTATAATTAGAACAATTTTAGAAATATGAATTTATTTAGCAGTGACATAGTTGGTGGAAGAATTAGAAAATAAAAAGTGATAGTAGTGAATTCTTGCTTTTTACACTTGTCGCATGTCATTTTGTATAGCTAAGGGATCTCGGTTTATTTGGATTTGCCCGGGTTATCAAAGGAAGTGGCAAGTAATCTGAGTCCAGCAGCCCCCTGCTCACTGGCTTATTTAATCTGAAGACTTTTATGGAGCCTCTGCTCCATGAGAGGCCCTGTGTTAGCCGTGGGGACACTGGGAGAAGCAGGGCAGCCCCACACCTAGAGTGATGATCTAGGAGCCACAGTCATATGAGGTGCATTGTGGGAGTGAGGGGAAGTGGGATATTGCTATGAGGTGTCCCTTTGGATCTTGGATAAACACCAGAGAGATCTCCTTCTAGGTCAGGATGGAAGGGGTCCTGGCTCTTGTCGCATTGCTGCTGACCACAGGGATGCAGTAGCTGTTTTCTACCCTGTATCTGCTAGGAATCCTGCAGAACTCTGGTCCCACTCCCTTGAAGTAATGCCTAGAAATCCATGGACTGACCCTCTCTTTCCTGGTCCCGGGGACCCAGAACTCAAGATGTTAACTAGCTTTTAATATTCTTGATTATCATTGGGCATTGTAATCAGAGTCGACATTTATTGGCACTGCAATGATGAAAATAAGGGTTGGGATGGAAGATCAGCTGGGACACAGGCAAAGAGTGGTTCTTGCTTCTATTTCCTGGAGCAGCTTGGGTCCTGCTGGAACACTCCTCCACACTCAAATTTCACAGTTCCTCTAACTGGAAATGGGGTTGCTCGGTAGCTCAAATGATGAAGAAACAGCTTGTATTGTGGGAGAGCTGGGTTCGATTCCTGGGTCAGGAAGATCCCCCTGGAGTAGGGCATGGCAACCCACTCCAGTATTCTTGCCTGGAGAATTCCATGAACAGAGGAGCCTGGCAAGCTCCAGTCCATGGAGTTTCAGAATCAGACATGACTGAGCGACTAACACTATGGTCCACTATGGTCTAACTAGCAAAGTTTTTGGTTTTATTTATGAAACATCCTATTGAGGTGCATATCCTCTGACCTGTCCTGGACCACAAAGCAGCCAGCTCCATCCAGTGGAGAGTGGAGGAGTGTCTGGGGGCAACGGTGTGAGAAATTCCTGCCCTGCCATCACAGGGTTAACAGCCGCCAGGCCTTGAGCTCTGTGTCGTCCCTCACACGCATCCTGCAGCCCAACACACGGGGCTCCTCACACCCGCTCGCCTCCCAGATGAAGAACTGAGGCCACGGGCCTTGGGCATCTTCCCAGGAACACGTGCTAGTGAGGGTCTGGGTGGTCTCAGAGCCCCGGTCTCAATTCCTCTGGAGCCCCCGCCCTTCCTGCCCACCCCAGGCCATGGCCCTACCTTCCAACTTCTCCTGCCTTCTTCTTCTCAGTGCTACACGATGCCTCTGAGGTGACAAAAAGCAGGCCCACGGATGGAAAGGGATGAGGAGGATCAGAAGTACTGTGGGGCTGCTCTGGGGTTTGCTAAGACCTAACTCTGCCGGGGGCTGGCATCTCTGTCCAAACCCAGCACCTCCTGCCTGAGGGTGGCGCCCTGTCCCTGCTGCTGCCATGGGGCCTCCTGCCCAGCTGAACCTGCCAGGCTGACCAGCTCCTCACTGAGCAGGAGGAAGGGAGGGTTTTGGCTGAATGGCCCCAGTGCCCACTGGATAAGGCCCCTACAGGAGCCTCCTCTAATATGGGAGGGAAGGTAACATGGGCAGAACCCTGAACCTTCAGGTCTCCCCAGCCTCAGCGAGGGAGAGGAGCAGCTGGAGGGTCTCTGAGCTGCAGACACTGGAGTGGGGATGCCAAGTGCAGGGGCAGGACAGCAAGGCTGAGAAAGGCAGGCCTTAAGACATCATGAGGGCTTGTGTGTGCACAATACAAGTGTCCCAAGCCACAGCTGACAAAGACCTCTCAGCTCCCAGCCCCATCCTTGCCCATGCTCTGCAGATCCCCCATCTTAGCCCATGGCTGTTGAGGGCAGATCCGTGCTAACCTGTCTGGCCTTGGCCCTGGGGCCACCCTGGACCAAGTAACCTGCTAGGTTACTGTCACTTCGTTCAACTGCTGAGGAGGCACTGAGGGATAGAGAGATAACCCATGACTGCAGGGGACCTGAAAACACACACCTCCATCCTCACCTTTTCCCTTGTACCTGGAGGGGTTTCCCTGTTTACTGGAGCAGGGAGGGGAGGAACAGAGCCGTAGGCCTGAACCTCAGCAGGGTCTCAGCACCACGCAAGGGGGCTCAATTTCCATGCGGCTATGAGGATGGGGACAAGATCCCAGATGAACCCAGCCCACAGCCTCCCAGGACTTTCCTTCACCGAGCACAGCAGAGCCACAGTTCTCACAGGCCCACGAGGCACCACGTGATCAGTTTCCTATCCTGGTGGCCTGCTCTCCTCGCCCCCAGATTCCTCCCGGTTGCCATGAAGGCCATCCTTCCATCCTTTGAACATTCCAGTGTGTTCCTACCTCAGAACTTTTGTAGGGTGTGAGGAGTCACATCGTGTCCCTTCAGAGTCAGGTCTTGGAGTACTCCCAAGTACCTCAGCGTGACCTTATAGACAAAGGAGAGGTCTTCACAGAGCTGATGGAGATCAAGTGAGCTGATTAGGATGGACCCTCCTCTAACACGATGGCTGTCCCCATACATAGGACAAATTGAGAGACAGAGAGGCACACGGGAGAACTCATGATGAAGAGAAAGGAGGATCTCTCCAAGCCCAGACATGCCCACCATGGCCAGCAAAGCCCCGGAATTGAGGAGGGGGAAAGATGGGACAGTCTCTCTTCACAGCCCTCACGAGAGCTGATGTCCACTGACACCTCGACTTTGGCTGCCACTCAGTAGACAGCCCTGCTGGGTTCCTGACCTTTGGGGTATCACCTCCCATGAGTCATGCACCCTGAAGCAGAAGAGGCTCCTCCTGGGTCCCCCAATGGTGCCACAAGTTTCTAATCAGCAGCTGAGCATCTCCAGCTCCCGATTCAGGGGTCTCCCCAAGAGTCTCACCAGAATGCAGGGTCACCCCACCCACCAAGGGTCTTGAAAACACATGACCCAAACCCAAAGACAAGTACAAAGTTTCCACAAGGTGAACACTAGCCCTTGTCACTCTGCCCTCACAGCTGTATTTAGGAGCCTGTCTTTGCACATGAGGCAGCCAGGCACCATGTCCAACGCACATGCTTTGTGAGCCAAGAGACACTTTACAGCAGGACAAGGGTCACCTGCAAGGACAGACTGCTGCCTGTTTCTGGGCCTATGAGCCTCTCTGCCTGCTGACACTCAGCCCAGCCCCCAGCCTTCCCCCATCACCCCCTGGACACTGTTCCAAAACAGGGAATTTGGACCAGAACACAGAGGGAAAAACACCAACCGGTTTCCTAACAACACATTTCTCTCAAGCACCCAGACCCAGCAGGGCCAAAATGACTGGCAATGCCATCTTTTCATAAAGGTCAAAGTCCCAAAGACTCTTCCTGAGTAGAAAGCAGCACCTCATGAGAGGAGTCCTGGACCCCGAATACCCACCAAGTGGGCAGCACACCTCAGGGTGGGGCCGAATCAGACTGAACCAGATGGGCATGTACAGGGCACAGCGGCCACTGGACGGTGTCATTATGAGCTGGTCTCTCCATCACCTTCCCCTCGACAGCCCAGCCTGGACAGGCCTCCCGCCCAAAGGGGATCAGGAACTTGAGGATGTCCACCTGGAAGATGTCCTTCCTGGCCCTCCCCAGGACAGGGAGGACAGTGGGAGTCAGCGAGCTCAGTCAGGTAATTCTGTTGCAGGTTGGGTAGCAGGGCTTGATTCTCCAGCTCCTCCACCTTAACGAGACCTAGGTTTGCTGGGCAC